ATTCACCTGCACATCCACTAATGTTATATATGCCATCATGTGCCAGCAATGCCCCTCTGCCATGTACATTGTCCAAACCGGACAGTCCCTCCGCAAAAGAATAAATGGACACAAATCGGACATCAGGAATGGTAACATACATAAGCCAGTAAGTGAACACTTCAATCTCCCCGGTCATTCTATTACAGATTTAAAAGTCACTATCATTGAACAAAAAAACTTCAGAAACAGACTTCAAAGAGAAACAGCAGAACTAAAATTCATTTGCAAATTTAACACCATTAATCTGGGCTTGAATAGGGACTGGGAGTGGCTGGCTCATTACAGAAGCAGCTTTTCCTCTCCTGGACTTAACACCTCCTCATCTATTATTGGGAGTGGACTACATCCACCCTGATTGAATTGGCCCTGTCAACACTGGTTCTCCACTTGCAAAGTAACTCCCTGCTCTCCATGTATCAGTATATAATGCCTGCATCTGTAACTTTCACTCTGTGCATCTGAAGAAGTGAGGTTTTTACCCACGAAAGCTTATGCCCAAATAAATCTGTTAGTCTTTAAGGTGCCACCAGACTCCTTGTTGTTTCAGTGAGATGAGTTTCTGAGATTAGAGCCTTGACCTCAGAACCGCTATACACGGTTTTCTACAAAGACCAGGTTCAGCTGCGGCCCCACCTGGCCTTCCTGCCGAAGGTGGTGTCTACCTTCCATATGCACCAGGACATCTTCCGCCCGGTGTTCTGTCCCAAACCGCATAAGACCAGTGAAGAGAGGCATCTTCATGGGCTGGACGTCCAAAGGGGCTTGACTTTTTACTTAGAATGTACCAAGCCTTTCCGTAAATCAACGCAGCTCTTCATCACTATAACGGATAGGATGAAGTGCCTTCCTGTGTCCTCGCAGAGGATTTCCAATTGGATCACCTTGTGCATAAGGACCTGTTACGACCTTGCATTACAACCATCCAGATTATATGGGATTCTGTGCGCTCCACCCAGCTTTCTACATTGATGTTAAACGACGTCATATCATTTTTGCACATGTCGTGGTACTGCCATAAAGGGCGACCCCGCTTTCTAGAGCTATTTCGAATGTCGCTGTACAAAATGCTCTTGGGGATATGGTCGTCTTCCATTCTCCTGATATGACTGAGCCATTGCAACCTCCTCTTCTTGATAGTAGTTTCTAAGTGTGTCAATCCTGTGTGCTCCAGCACCTCTGTGTTTGGCATTTTGTCTTCCCACTCTTCTTTTCAGGATCTTGCCCAGCTATCTCATGTGGAAGCTGTTCAGTCTCCTAATGTGCCTAGCGTATGTAGTCCATGTTTCTGAACATAAAGCAGGGATGACAGCACACAAGTCTCATAGATTTACATCTTCACCTTTGGTGATAGTTAGCTGTTATTCCATGCACGTTTCTGTAATAGCCCAGAATTCTTAGCTGCTTTTCTGATTGTTAGTTCAGTCTGAAGGGCAAGATTCCTGCTGATCATAGAACCCAAGTAGCAAAAGCTGCCAACAATGCAGAGATTTACCCTCCAGAGTGATGTCAGGCATTGGTTCTTCCACCCTTTGGTACATGATCACAGTCTTCTTGAAACTAATTGCCAATCCGAAGCTCTTGAATGACACTCAAAATCTACCCAAGAGATTTTGCAGGGAAGATTCACTGTGGGCAACCAAAGCTGCATCATTCGCAAACAGGAAATCTCTCAGAACCAGCTCTTTCCCCTTGGCTTTCACTCTAATTCTTGCTATGTTGAACAAGCCTCCGTCTAGTGTGGTTCGAAGATCAATGCCATCATTGCTGTCCTTAAATGCATGAGAGAGCAGGAATGCAAAGTAGAAGTTAAAAAACACAGAGGTTAGGTCACACCCCTGTTTCACCCTGTTGTTGATGTCAAAGGCACTTGATTTGAAGTCAGCAACGATGGCCCAGTGGTTAAGGTGCTAACCTAGGTCTAGACCTGGGTTCAATTCCCTCCCCAGACTGCCTTTGTGACAATGGGCAAGTCACTCAGTCTCTCTGACACTGTTCCCCATCCTGTGCTTTGGATGATTTTGTTAGCTATTTTTAAAAAAAGCCTCATCCACTTCTTCTTTTTGGTTAGGTGGCCTGTAGTGGACCCCTACCATGATGTGAATTAAGGTTCTTCTTCAAGAACAGTGTCAGAGAGTCTCTGTGTGTTCTCCACCATAGTATGTGTGAGTGCCTGTATGCACTCAATTGGAGATTTTAGAAAGCAGTGTCTGAGTACACAACTGCACACCATACATCGGCATGCTCCAGTATCAAGGTTTCTAAGGAGGTGCAAACCCACCACCACTCCAATTCCTTCTCCATAGTCCTTTGCTCAAGATATATCTTAGCCGTGTCCGCTGCTAGATTTACAGCTTCCTTGCTCTTGCTTAGTATTTTATTTTAATCTGTTTTTTTTCAATTTTAATGTTTTAGCACACATTTATGCTTTTTTGAGGGAGAGGTTCCCACATCTAATCCCTTTCCTTTGTCACCAGAACCTTCACTTTCAGCCGTTGCGTCTTTTCTGTCCTTTTCCTGCTTAGGTTATTCCAAAGATCCCAGGCTTTAAAACCTGCTACACCTGCCACAGGTCTTTTCCCTTCAGTGACAGTCATTCCGTTGTGTCTGCTGTTTTGGAGAGTCCTGCGTCCTTTGGTCACGGTTTCTCTGACTGTGCCAGTGCCTTCAGCGTTGTTGAGTGAGGACCATGGGTCAGCTTCAGAAGTGAACCATTCCACGAGGAAGAGACCCCACTCCATGGTGAGAGACTCCAAAAGAACAGAAAAGTCACCTTCAAGGCCAGGACTTAAGGAGAGCTCGCATCTGGGTCAGCGAGGCCCTTTATGCTAGCCCTATGGACGTGCAGCACCAGATGGTGCCAGGGCCAACCCGATGGATACTGCTAAGGGAAAAATTTCTGGCGACTGTACTTGGGGCTTGCACACACCTACAATGGAATGGACATGTGCAAGCATGTGAAGAACTTGTCATGAACAGGTCCATGATTGGTCGAGCCCATCTGGAAAAGGTCTGAACCAACTGCTTCTTCAGGGACCACTCATGCATCTGGGAGGCATCTCTCCTGGGGCGATCTGCAACCATATTGTTTTCCCCTGCCAAATGTATTGCTACAGGGTAAATGTTGTGGCGGATCCACCAATCCCATTTCTTTATTGCCTCCGCATACAAAGAGGCGGAGGGAGCAACCTCTTGTTTGTTTGTATAATACATTGCCAATTTATTGTCTGTTACTACCTGCACAGTCTTCCCTTGCAAGTGAAGAAGGAACGATCTATGGGCCAGGTGAACAGCTCTTAATTCCAGTACATTGCTGTGCAGTGTTCTTTCTTGAGAAGACCAATGTCCTTAAACCATTAAGTTGTTCAAGTGTGCTCCCTAATCCTTTGTTGATACATCTGAAGTCATTGTCCAGCATGGACCTGGAGGAGTGAACTGCACACCTTTGAGCATATTGGTCCTGTTTGACCACCAGTGTAGAGAGGCTGTAATTTTCTGGGACATGGTGAGACACAACTGAAGACCGTCCAAATTTGGACAGTAGACAGGGATGTCCAGTGTTGCAAAGGTATCATTGTCAGAGGGGCAAATGAAGTCATGTAGATAGTGGCTGCTACAAACCCCTTTGAGATCCAGGAAGAACTTTATCATCAGTGTGGGGCAACTTTGGATCTTCATAGGCATTGCTCCATTTTGAGAAATCTGTCTTCTGGCAGAAGGGCTCTCCCTGCTGTTGAGTCCAATATGGGACCTACAAAGGGGATCCTTTGAATAGGACAAAAGACCGATTTGGAAAGCTGAGGAAAAATCCTAGACCTGATAAGAAGTTGGTTATGGCTACAAACACTGCAGAAAGCTTTCTGTTCAAGTAAGATCAGGTCTTCAGTGGTCAAGAAATGTGTGCTTCCATCAGAAGACCAAGATCGATTGCAATATGACTGTTGATGATATGGAACTTCCTATTAATCTGTGGAGTTCCCTGTTTGTTCCTTCTGAGTACTCAGACCTTGCCTATACACAAAATTTACATCAGTTTAGTGAAATCAGTGCAAACCCTGTGTGGACACTCTTATTTTGGTACAAGAGTGACTTATTTCAGTTTAGCTTAAATTTGTTACTAATTGACTTAAAGCTAAACAAAAATAAAGCTGGTTTAAAACAAAATAAAAGTGCCTGCACAGTCTTTTGCACCAGTTTAACTAATTGGTTTAAAATAACACCTTTACTTAAACTGGTGCAACTCTATATGCAAACAAGTTTGTAAAAACGGTAAACAGAGGACAATATCCTCCTCCTTGCCCTTTGGTGGCCTCCCTGATCCTGGTGTCCAGTATCTCATCCCTACTCAGCAGTAGTAGAAATTTCCATTTGCCAATTGTAAAATCCAGTGTCACAAGGCCAGTGGTATATGACAGCTTAAAATCCTGTCTAAGAATCCGTCGTCTTAATTCAATTTTAGATTTTCTGCCATGTTCAAGATGCAGCAGTTAAGATTATGCTGGGTAACACTGATGGTTTGCCATTTGACAGTGCGATTTCTTTTGTGGTTAAGATTTTCTTTTGAAGTTCAGTGTGGCTGCTGACTGACAGACAGAACCTGAAGCAGATTGAGGGATCAGAGTTGCAAAATACAATTTTTAGTTAAGAAATTGCCTGGTTCCTGTATTTTTAAAATGATTTCTGACTTCATCAAGTTTTCCAGTAAATCAGATAAAGATTACTTTACCATTTTACCTTTTCACTCATAGAAGAGTTGAGTGATATTGCAAGTTGGTTGAAATATTTTTTGAATGCTCAAATATTACTATATGAGTAATCTATCAGTTCTGTTAAGTGTATTCATAATGACCATTTTTATTTAATAATCTGTACAGACTATCTATAGCTTCAGCTGTCCCTATAGTAAAGCCACTTTGAATCTTTCTGTATTATTTAATTAAATCCATCTCTTATTTCTATAGGTTTATGTGCGGTTAAGGCCGTTCTTCAGAGAATTCCTGGAACGTATGTCTCAGATTTATGAGGTAATAATACTTCGATATCTCCCTGAAATTTCTTTTTATATTATATATACTCATTTATATGATGCTAAATAATGCAGTAATGATGCAACTTTTTCCTCCTCTAATTTATAGATCATTCTTTTTACTGCTTCTAAGAAGGTGTATGCAGACAAGTTACTGAACATACTAGACCCTAAAAAGCAACTGGTCAGGTAAACTTGATTAAAAACTCATGTAAATATCTAATGTTAGGCTAACCAATTTATTTTTCACAAAATTATAATTAAGAAATCAATCATTACACATTAACTTCTTTGTTGTAGTCTGCCTCACTAAATTGACCAAGCGTGTATGCATGAAGGGGGGAAATGAGAGGTAGAAAGGTAATTGAATTATTGTACAAGGGATAGAGACATAAACCCTAATCATTGTTGTACTCCATTCTGACGCTTAAAGCATATGTATCCCTTGATCCATCATAACGTATTTGAGAGTAGTACTCCTGTTCTCATTACAAATGTAATTCTTCTAGCACCTGTTTCTCTGCTACATCATCAATATTTGACTGATTTTTAAGTGTATATCAAGAAAACAAATAGTTTGACAGAAAATAATTCATTATTTGATGACTTTTTAAAATGAACTACTTTTTAAAGGACAATTCATAAAATTAATTTTAAATCTGTTATTTGCAGGATCAAAATATTTGCATCTTTCATTCAAGCGTGAAATGATTTGTTGATGATTCTGGTAACAGTTATTTAGCCTTGTTCATTTCCTAGTCTTTTACCTGAACCCTGGGCTATGATGTAGGGGAGTGTCTTGCATTGCTCAAGAACAATTCCTCAAGATTTTTAAGGAAATGTTGGTGGAGGGATTTTGCATAGTGATCCTCATCTGGAAGGATAATAGACTTTTTGGATAGGAAAGTTAAAGCAGAAAAAAAGGGGAAATCCTCAGGGATCCATTCAAAATGTGATATCCTTATTAAGGGGAATAAATCATTTCCGCCTTCTCTGATTAGGGAATGCAAGATACTATGCCCAAGAGCTCATTTGTAAACTTCTCATTTGCATCATGTTAGCTCAGAAAACAGGGTGAAATCCCAGCCCCATTGAAGTATATGGAAAAATTCCCATTGACTTCAGTGAGATCAGGATTTCTCCTGTCGTTTTTAAAGTATAGGACACCAATCATAATTTACTTTAAGGCTTTAAAGATATATTGTCAACTTATTTTAATCCAAATATTTTATACCTTCTAAAACTTCAGTATTCTAGAAGCATTTCACCTAATAGATATTTTTCTGTAAATAATAAGCACTCTGGGGCAGAGACTGTCTTTTTATTACTTGTATGTACAGCACAGCAGAGCCCTTGTCGATGATTGGGACACTTACATGCTATAGTCAGACACATAATAAAGTTTTGCAGTGAATAGATTCTGCACCCAAGCTAAAGCTGTATTTAGGCGTGGCAGAATTTGATGTTTATTTTGGCAGATATCTGTTTATTTTTAGGCATTTTTTTTCTTTAATTTTTATTGATTTAAGTTTTCACGGTTGCAGGAGATTATGGGAAAGTCAGATAATAGGGTTCTCAGACAGTAATTTAATGATAGATATTAAGATTCAAAAAGTTAAAGCTTTATAACTGTTAAAACACTAATTGTCAACATCCCATGTCAAAATATACAAAATAAATATCCTAAAATCCAACTCTAATAAGTTCTCAAGCAGCATTTTCCTTACTTTGCCCAGCTACATTTTGATTATTATCAATGCACATTTTTGTTGTTGGTTTGTGTGTGTATGGTGAAATCAACATTTACAGACATTTACTGATAAAAATCGAATCCTGACAACTCTAGCCATATGCTAGCCTAGCTCTAGGAATTATGTTAGGGAAGTTGTACGGCCAGTGTTGTACAGAAAGTCAGACTGAGTGATCACAATGGGCCATTCTGGCCGTGAAATCTATGAGTTTATATTTAAAGACTATAAATACAGAAGTACTTTTTATCTATTTATGGAATCTAAACTGGGTGAGTTTCAGTTAAATAGATCTTCAGTATATGGTGTGTGGAATCTGGACATATTTCTTGTACCTTTAAAAAGTTGTTTATTCACAGATTCACCACTATTATATTCATCTTGCCAGTGTCCTCCTTAACATGCAGTAATAATATTCTTTTAGATTATTTTTAGGAAACCTAAACAAATGTTTTTAGATGCATTTTATCTCATTTAGTCAGCATTATAAATTTGTTTTTGATTAAAGTCTTTAAATATAATCAAATATGAATAATATAAAAAGGAATTATAAGTACTGAAGGAATCTGTCCCATTAATGTGTGGGAAGTTACATGGCTATCTCATTCTTAATGGGAGTAACTTATGTAATACTTCACAAGTCTCTCTGAAAAAGTCTTTTACAGCTCTAATTTTTATGACTCAGAATGCAATTTTAAACGTATTGGGACAGGATGGATATAATGAAATGGGGTGGTGCATCTGAACTGTCTTCTAAGAATTTGAACTGGATCCACACTTGTGATTCATGTGCCACTGAAAAGCTGACATCAAGGCTTGATTAGTTTTGACTTTAGCCTAAAGGTAAACTTGTCAGGCACGCCACACACCTGACTCAGAATCTACATATCAAATTGTTTGTCACTGAGCCATCAGCTTATTTATAGTAACAGTGGGCGCTCCACCCCTTTGTGAAATTAAACATTTCAGATACAGCTTTTTTTTTTTAATTTTGTTTGATCAGATTTCCTAAATTGTTGAACAGCCTTAGAGAGATTGTCATAATAAGAAAATGTAAAGCTTAGAAAGATGCATTTACATTGTAATATGATTTTAATGTAACCTATATTTGAAAGTCAGTTTATTCTATAGTTAAGGTGATGAAGCTTCAGTTGTATTTTTAATACTACTTTAAACAACCTGAATCCTTGTACACTATCCAAACATTTCTAATTATTATACAGCCTCTCTCTGTTGAATTAAATGGGAGCAGGGTAATTGGGGGAAAAAAGCAGTTGATGGAATGTTTTGGCCTTGAGGCTTTTCTTAAGATATTGTAACTGAAATAGATTAATTGCCAACACAGGTAACAGTCCACAGAAAACATTCCTTCTAGTATTTTCTGTTCTGGCAGGTACAGGGATAGGGAGGCTCTGATCTCTACTGGTTAGAGCAAAGGACTGAAAGCCAGGGTTCCATTGAGGGGCTAACCCCTGACATACTGTGTGACCTTGGGAAGTCACTTGAAGTCCTTGTATGCCTCTGTCAACTCATCTGGAAAACTGGTTAAAAATCAGGACCTCACTGACAGCCAGATACTGCATCTTAACTGTCGTGGGTAAATGAATTACCAAAAAAAGTACAGAATTGCATTAATCCCTCTCTTTGGTTTTAAACATTATATTTTTAGAGAAACACACAAGTTCCATGTTAAGGCATGGCAATACTTGAATATAAGGTCTACCTATTTGCTAAGAATTTTGATGATGAAAGAATAGCCCAAAAGAGAGAGCCAGTTTTTAAAAGGGCAGCTTCTTAAGAAGAGCTAAGCACATCAAGAAAGAAAAATTAAGATTTTAACTTCCATAACACTTGGCAGCATTTAATTTTCTTTTTCTCTGTGCAACATATTTTTTAAGTTACTAAATTAATTAATTTTCCTTTAACCCATAGGCATCGACTTTTCCGTGAGCATTGTGTTTGTGTACAAGGAAATTATATAAAGGATTTAAATATCCTTGGTAGAGATCTTTCAAAAACGATCATAATTGACAATTCACCACAAGCCTTTGCCTATCAGGTAAGCATTTTTGTGATAGTCACACTTTTTAGAATTTGTAAAAACCTTCTCTGAAAATGAAAACATAAACTTTTAATTTAACTAGGTAAATTAAGAAAATGCTAGGTGTAAAAAAAAAAAAAAAAGTACCTAACTCATTTGTAATAAATTCACCTCAAAATATGTAGGGTACTTTTTTAATAGGAACATTTTAGGTGTTACTTGGCCATTTCAAAAATAGTATAATTTTAAAAAGTAAAATAATGTAAGTGAAAAGAATTTCTGTGCGGCAAACGTTCTTCAGAAAACTCAGAATACTTCACCATACTCACAACATTTCCTTTGTATTTTGATTATTTTTAATGATAAGAAGGGCTTTAACACTTTTACTCAATCAATTACCTCTTCTAGAAATTCAGAAAAATCCAGTCTGTTAGGATTATTCACAAAATATACCCTTTCAGAACTAGTAGAAGAATTATGAGCAAACAAATTGCTGGTTGAGGTGAAGTGTGTACAACTATCATACTTTTGTATACTAGAGGTGTTCAATATACATTCCATGATCCAGATTTAGTCCAAAAATATGCTCTATATATAATCCAGTCTCCATAATTGTATAGACATGAGGGAAGTGGAGATTAATCTCAGAAGTCCCTCTACATTAGAGAATAGAACTGGTGTTGAAAACAGTAGTCTGCCTACTAGTGATACAATTTTGTTGTCTATAAATTCAGCACTAGTTCAGGGAAATCCACTGCTCACAACTGATGTCAGTCAGCATGATTCAATTTCATATTGTAAACTGGGCTTCTGAACCAAGATCCTAATCCAGAACCCACTGAAGTCAGTTGAAGGAAAGGACTTTTTCTGATGTCAGTGAGTACAGTACAGGTCCTGATTTTGCTCCTGAGACTTTTCCTGGATTTGGCGGGCAACGAAGATCATGTTGGTTGTCCCACGGGATGATCTAAAACCGCACTGAAATTCCAGCAATATTTCCTCAGCAAGGGGAAATAATCGATTTAAGAGGATACGGGCAAGGATTTTCCCTGCTGTAGATAGCAAAGCAATGCCTCTCTAGTTTCCACACTTTGACTCATCTCCTTTCTTAAAAATTGTAACAATGTTAGCGTTTCTCAAGTCTTCTGGAATCTTCTTCTTATACCAGATATGAAGAAAAAGTTTGTGGAGCTTCCTTACCAGTTCTTCACCTCCAACTTGGAGACTTCAGCTGGTATGCCATCAGGCCCTGCTGCCTTGTTGTTCTTAGTTTGCATAATGTCTTGTGTTACTTCTTCAAGGGGCGGGGGGTGTCAGCAAGAGATTCTTTTTCATGTTGAGGTATAGATTCAATAGTAGCACCAGGGACAGTTGACTCACAGTTCAGGAGTAACTCAAAATGCTCCTTCCATCTGGCTTTGATGGCTTTGCTATCCTTACAATACGTTGACCCGTCTTTGGCTTGGAGTGGTGTGGGTCCATGGGAGCATGGACCGTAAATGGCCCTTCTTGCCTGAAAAAAACCCTCCTCATGTCATGTTTATCAGCATAAAGCTCAATCTCCTTGTCCTTTTTGGACACCACTTATTTCTGATGTCACGGATTTTCCTTTGGGCTTCAGCCTTGAGTTGCTTGTATGACGTTTTCTTCTGCTGGTGTGATGTCATTTTGCCACATGCGATGAGCTTTTTTTTTTTTTTTGTTCGGCAGCCCCTGCAGCTATAGGGCTGTACGGTTAGGTGCCACCACCTTATGTGCAGGTTCCAGTCATTCATGTCATGGAGCCAGCATAGAGGAGCATGATCTGTGATCAAGGAGAAGGGGCTGCCCAGCAGGTAATATCTGAGGGAATACACTGCCCACTTAATCACTAATGCCTCCTTTTCAGTAATTGAGTGAGCCTTTTCTTGATGGAATAGCTTCTTGCTCAGATGTAGGATCAGGTGTTTTCCCCCCTCCAAGTTCTGCAAGAGCATGGTGCCAAAGTCAACATCTGAGGTGCCTGCATGTAGTATGAATGCCTGGGAAAAGTTGGGGCTGATGGGTTTCAGCTATGGAGCCCTGCGGTCCCCCTGAAAGGGCTTGCAGACCTCCAGTTGAGAACCGCTGCCATAGCATATTGATGATGAGGGCTGATGATTTTATTCGTAAACATCTGGAAAACATCTGTTGCGGCTCCATGGAGTTCTGAAATGCCTAAAGGGGTTGAGAAAGAAGTTTTCTCTTGTGAGGATGGAAATAAAGAGATCTGTCAGTAATCCTTCATCAGTTTATTAGTGCTCAGGTACTTCACTGGTCCCAGCCACTCTAATAAACTGTCTACCCGTAATATCAGATAGGCATCAAATTTTGAGATGGAGTTACCTTTCCTGAAATTGATGCAAAACCGAACCGTCCGGTTTGGGAACCACAACTATGGGGTTCCGCCATTCACTTTTTGACCCCCCGATTATCCCCACCTGCATCATGACTTCTCAGACTGTATCCTACAGCCTCCATGGTAAGGGCCTGGGGTTCTCCCTGACACGTTAGCCCGAGATGGTCTCTAGGGTAGTGTTGGATTAACTGTGTTCTCCCAGGGAGGAGTAAAATACAGTAGCAAAGACATTGGTCAATTGGAAGAGTTGCCTCCTCTTTACAGCGGTAAGTCCCTAACCCGCAAGAGTTGGTGTCGGGTTTTGGCCACTGGGTGTTTGGAGTCCTAGTTCAGGCTCTGTAGGGAAGGGAGTTTTCAGCAGGTTTTCCTTGCGTCTTCTAAGGTCTAAGAAGATTCACATGGTACATTTTGGTTTCCTTCCTTCTGCCTGTCATTTTTATCTCATCATCCAATGGCCCTACCTGTTTAATAACTTCAAATGGACCCTGCCACTGGGCATTAACTGACTCAGCCAAAGGAAGCAGTAAAAGGACCTGGTCACCCAGGTTAAAGACCCGTAGTCATGCCCCTCCATTATCATTTTGCACCTGCACTTATTCGACCTTTCTTAAATGTCCTCTGGTGAACACCCCTCGTCTCTGAGTCATTCCCTTAGTTGTATGATGTACTGAATCATACTTAAAGCACCTACGTCTTGTTCCTCCCTGCCCTCTCAGAGCAAGTCCAAAATTCCCTGCGGCTGGTGGTCATAAAATAACTTGAAGGGAGAGAGCCCTGTAAAGGCCTGCAGGACCTCCCTTATGGTAAAAAGGAACGGTTGGACTAGCCAGTCCTAGTGCTTGGGGTCATAACTAACAAAGCGTTTCAATGTTCCCTTTGGAGTTTTATTAAATTGCTCACGTAGGCTGTCTGGCTGTGGGTGGTACACAGAGGTTTTCAGGGACTTGAGCTTCAGGAAGGCTGAAGTTAGTCCCTTTATCTGTTAGTATTTCTTGGGGAAATCCTATGCATGGGGGGAGGGATAGCTCAGTGGTCTGAGCATTGGCCTGCTAAACCCAGGATTGTGAGTTCAATCCTTGAGGGGGCCACTTAGGGATCTGGGGCAAAAATCAGTACTTGGTCCTGCTAGTGAAGGCAGGGGGCTGGACTTGATGACCTTTCAGGGTCCCTTCCAGTTCTATGAGATAGGGATATCTCCATATATTATTATTTATTTATTTTTAGCTTTGAGAGCTCTGGGGTTATAGCCGTAGTTTTCACTGAGCGAAGGGGAACAGCCTCTGGGTACCTGGTTGCTTAGTCAACAGTTACTAATATGTACTGGTGTTTGGATGCAGTTATTTCCAGGGGCCTCTCTGCCTTTTGCATGGTAATATCCTTATAAATTGTCCGTTGACAATCAACATGGGCAGTGGGTTTCCTCACAAATACCCAAATGGTTCAAAATGGTGGAATTAAAAATGTATTTACTGTGTATATCAGAGTTAATGCTGTTAGGTTTTGAAGGAATTTTATATGTTCTAAACAATTACAGAAATACAAATGTTGTCAGTTTTATGTCATTAATTTCAGTGAGTAGCTGTTAAACTCAACTTTGCTTGCATATGTAAACTGGGGTCAGCATTGGTTTTACAAAAGTCTGCAGTATCTGCCTATATTTGAACACTTTCTGAACATTTCTATGTATTTCAGTCCAGCAGAGGTTTTAGTACTAAAAATGTCAGTGATACTAGAGTATCACTAGTGTTCCTTTTTAACAGTTTTGTGCAAAGGAAGGAAATTTTTTACAAGTGGATTTTAAAACAACTTCTAGAGCAAAAAATATGTATTGATAAGTTCTGTTGGCACAAAATTTGTTTTACATAAAATGCACTATATCATCAGTGGTTTTTTCTGGAGATATTCAGCATAAAAATTAACATACCTGTGATTTTACTTTAGCTTTCAAATGGAATTCCTATAGAGAGCTGGTTCATGGATAAAAATGACAATGAACTCCTAAAATTAATTCCTTTTCTGGAGAAACTTGTAGAGCTGGTGAGTAATGTATTCATGTTTTTTCATATACACTCTAGGTAGTTTCAAAATTGACTAAGTGATTTAGGAGCCTACATCACTTGGAAACTTCTGAAAATGTTACTTAGGAACTTTCAAAAACTCTGTCTTGTCTGGACAATAATCCAAAATATGTATAGGGAGTTCTTATTATTTTATTAGTAAAAAGCAGAATGTATTGGGTTGAGTACATGGTTAGAAGATTAGTACCAGCTCTGACACTACCTATGGGACCTTCAGTTAAGTGACTTGCCTACCTGCACATCTGTTTCCTCATTTGTAAAACTGAGATACTACTTATCTCACCGGGTTTTTGTGAATGTTAATTAGTTAATGTTGTAAAGCTCTTTGAAAATACAAAGCACTGTAAATGGTGTTGTATTATTATGTATACTAACATAATTTAAAAACATAACTCTTAAAATCTGAAGTATAGATACATTTATTATTTTAAAAACTGTAATTTTATTTTTTTCTACAGAATGAAGATGTCCGACCTCACATCAGAGACAGATTTCGCTTGCATGACTTGCTACCCCCAGATTAAACACCAAGCCTTTTATCAAATTACTGAAGGGGGAGAAAATGCAGGACCCTTTTGGACTAAAACAAAAACATTGCCATTACTGTTGAAATTTTGCATTTTTGTACCCCGTCTTGCTTTTCTTATCTTTGGTGCCCAACAGTAATCAAGGGTTACAGAAAGAGACTTTCTATATCTCAGATTGAATACATACAGTACAATACAGTAGGTAGGCGAGAACAGAAAAGTCTTTAGAACTAGTGCAACTCCAATGAAATTTTTTTATGTACAGGACATCTGCAGTTTATAAAGAATTCTGTTTCTGCCACCAGCAGTTTGACCTGTAGAAACACAGGATTTTATGATATAACAGAGATTGAAAATGGACTCTTATTTTCTCTCTGTTTGGTGCTCTAAGTGGGTTTGTAGCCACTTTTCTGTTACTTTAAGATTCTCATTTCAACAGGAATGGCCAGTAAAAGTTGTTTTATTTTTCCTGTTAAGGTTTATAACCTTTTTACATTTTTGACCTGTATTAGCTTAGAATTTCATTATGCATTCCTTTTAGTTGAGGCGCTTCATAGTTTTTCTGGAAATAGCCAAATTTTATTAGTTTTTTATTATACAATTGAATGGCCGTTTTCCTGCTTTGTCTGCCTGCATACTGTATATTTGTTTAAAAATATTCTCTAGTTTTAGTCCATGTAAGTTTCATTTAGAAATACCTGCATTTATATTTTGTTTCTGTAATATTCTACTGTAGTTGAAATCTTTTCAAAAATCAAGAGACTGGCTAGATAAGAATATAAGAATTACTAATATTCAGAATATTTAAACCATTGTGATGGCATGTACTCTGGACAGACAATATCTTGCAGTGGCACGCTCAATTGATGGACAAGGAATACCTCAGATTATACTGTGCATACAAATCTTTAAGGAGAATTATTTGGTAACCTGTTGGGTTTGATGCAAATCAATTACTGCTGCCTTCGGATTCCTCCAAGAATGAAGTATTCTGCACAGTGGCTCAGTATTTTAAGATGTTTTGCATGGGCTGGTGGTACCTCCTGTTATGCTGTTTGTTACAATCAGTTTTAAACTTTGTGTAACAGTGAAGGTACCTAATAGTAACTATGCATAATCCTGTGATACAGTACACTCCCATGCCACCAATGCAGTTAATATGCTATCATAGTGGTTTTCTATGCTATATGGAAATAGTCTTCAAGCCTTGGTTCTCTAATGCAGCTACCACAAGAGGTTGATATTTTTATAATGGTGTGTAATCTCCTTTTCAGGAGGCTTTTTATGGAAGGTATAATTTGTAAAAGTTAGGATGCTTTGCCTCTCGACTGCATTAACATGCCACAGGCTTGGACTGTTTTTGTGTAAAGGATGTCACAGAACGGCACTTTTTCTAAAGAGAAGTTTGATATTTTGTATGCTTGTTAAGAAAGTACAGTATTGGAAATTAAAGGTGGACAACTGATAATTGAGAAGTATGTCAATTAATTTTTTATGTATATTACCTGTTTACTTGTACAATTTTATTGTACAAATTACATGCAGCTTCATTTTCAAATGAGTCCTTAAAATAAGGAAAATCTTTTTAGGAAAACATTTAATTTTGTATTTTTGATTTTAAAAGGCATGAGTTATGTCAACTTTTTCCAGTGTATTAATGAAGATTTTAACTTTTCATCAGGTTGAGTGTTTTCTTACTATATTATCTGTTGTGTATGTAGCTAGCACATTGTGTCAATGAACTGTTAAAAAAAATTAGCATGTAGAGCAAGCCTGTTTTGTGGAAAATCCTTATTCATTAAAAAAAAAAGTCATCATGGCAGATTTTCTGCAAAAAAAAGTGAAAAGCATTTGCAATTCAGAATACTGATTTTTTTTTTTTTTTTTTTTTTTTGTATTTAAAGAAAGGTATTTTGCTTGCAGGAAAGAAATACTACAGATTCATTTTAATGAGAATCTTTTAAATGTATTTATCTTTAGGGCATCTGGGCATCTTTACGCTGTTTGTCTTATGTCTTTATTGAAATAAAATGTACATAACATTACCTTTATATATATATATATATATATATGCTTTTGCGCAGACGTGTGAACCCCAGAACTATCCCCACCCCTCCTGTTTTTATGCTAATATAATGGATACACTTACAGATTTGAAAATGGTCAGTTTGTGTTTGAGTTGCTGCAAGATTCTCCCACAATTTTTAAATTATTATTTTTTAATCTCCCTCTCAAACGTAAATCTAAGAATTTTTTAAGTTAATTTAACAATGAACTCCTCTTCAGAGTGGAATTTCTTCCAAATTACCATAAATAATATGTTATACCGTATTAGGATTTTTTTAATTCATTGCTAAATAAATCTAGCATAATGGAACTACCTTGAATAAGTTAATCATGGACATTCTCTGTGACTCAATAAAATGGTACATGGTTACCACCGATTAGAATCATTTTCCTAAGCATTTGCGTTCTAATTTACGCCATTTTGAGTAAAACTATTACAAAATTGGTATTTTTGGTTAAGGCAAAGTACACATTTCATTTTATACATGTATCTATGTCATGATTTCAGATCACTGAGGAAAATTAGAATGTGAGATATTGCAATCTGGTTTCTAGGAAATGTAGGGAAAATTGGTGATTTGGTACAATCTAGATGCACAACAAAACTAATCTATATAGACTGTTCCATAATACATATTAAATACTTGAATGTTAACATGCTGCAAATCTGATTTTTATAATTATAATCCTGCTTTGCTGAGAGAATGTGTCTTTTTAAAAAAATTAAGCTTCTAAAAATGTCAAATACTTCTGATCTACGTAATCTTTCCATCTAGTGCACTTAAATGTAATCAGATTTTTTTTCCTGTTTTTCATTTTATTGGATTCTATGATGGGGTGGAATGTCAAGGATTAAGTACTACTCTGATTTTAGAATATCATACACAGCTAATTACAACCCAAAATTATCGCTGATAACTGGGAGGGGAGGGGTTGGGTGTACAAGGTATTCAGGCTTGGGCCCTTTTTGAGTTACTTCACTATTATGCAATTAATCTTGTAACTGTATCACTTACTCTAATTTTCTTATTTTTAGAGAATTTATCAGAGGCATACCATAACATCCTCTTTCTACTGTAAATTCTTGGTGATTTTGTTTGCTCTCTTTCACTACAGCCTGCTGTTTGTATGGTCCTTTTACGTGTTCTGCACATGTTCTAGTCTAGCTTTGATCATTTTTACTTCTGACAGCAGAACTATGCTCGGATGAAAGATTATTACAGTTTCTTAGGATTTTGCAACGTGCAATACATGTGGAGGCTCTTTTTTTTTTTAATTTACTGTTTATATAGAAGGGTAACTGCCTCGATTTTACGGTTTTGTTTGTTAGTTAACATTCAATTGTTTCACCTTCCATCTACATAGGAAAATATCTTTCATTATTACTCAGAAACTTTTTAAAGTCTGAATTCTTTGAGGCCTGATCAAATATTGATCAAAGGCATCCTTCTGTTGGCAGTTCTTTGTCAACCAAGTGTAAACTAAGGATACTGTGTCAGCTTCCCTAAGACACTGATTCAAGCATTTAAACACTTGATTAAAGTTAATTATGTGTTTAAGTGCTTTATTGAATCACGCTTTCATCCACAGAGCTTGTTTTGGACATTTGACAAACATTGTACAAGAAAGTAAACAGTCACGTGTGCATCCATTTTCCTTTGCTTTCTCTTCTGGTCCCAGCTTCCTTGGAGTGTTCAAATTGCTAATCACGTTACTTTATTCTTCTTTGTCTAAACATCTAGCTCCATTCTGTTATCATATTACAATTGATTCTATGTATTACAAGTCATTTGGCAATTTAACTTCCAATTGCTAAGTCATCATCTGATAATACTTTATCAGAATTGACAAGAATATGCTCTTTCTTTATTTCTGACATTGAAACCGACAGAAAATAATTCATTTTGCTTTCCCATCACTTTGTGGGTTCTGGAGGGCAAATGGGAGTGGTGTAAACTTATTGTTCTCACTAAAGTCAGCAGCTGTGAGCCAGAATTAATGAGCCATTGTCATTTAAGCATAATTTTTCCAACCCCTTAAGTGGCCCCAATCTGGGGCAGCACACAATCTATTTCGCACCGCTCCATTGGTGCAAAGCACTCCTAAATCCAGGGGATCCAATCAATAGGGGGTCTCCCTTTCATAGGATTCTTGAGTTGCAGAGCCATAGTGGGTCCCTGTGATCTGTGACTAAGGTACTATCCTTCCCCTGTGATTGGGGACAACTAGCACAGAATGGAATTGGGGGAATGGAATAGGTGACTTTGCACCCTCTTCCATCCCACAGCAGCGCCAAGTACTCCTTGACGGCAGCTGTGTGGCTGGACTGGTAAACCCTATTAGAGAAGCCTCTGTTAAACTAGCAACAGAGGGTCCTGTGGCACCTTTAAGACTAACAGAAGTATTGGCGCATAAGCTTTCGTGGGTGAATGCCCACTTCATCAGACGCCATTATTATTATTTGTTAAACTAATTAACTTCAAAATTATTGAAATATAAAATACTAGATCGAGATAAAAGATGCTTAATAGGATAACACTACCCATATCATGTACGTAGACATTAAACCTGCTACCAATTAAAAAACAAAAAGTGACCAAGTCTGTCTACTTGTTTTCCTGTATAAATTCAGACTGACAAGTTGTGTTTCTACATTCTCAGCAGGTGCAGAGAGAAAGCAATCACAATGTTTTTTTTATTCCATTGATAGTAAGACTTTAAAAGCTGCAGCATTTTTCTAGTGTGGAAATTATGTATATATGTGTGGCATGGGGAAGCATGCCATCCAACTAGTCTACAATCATTCTGGTTATATAAAAGCAATTAATCCCTTAAAGATTTTTTTAAACTACTTAAAAACTGACACAGAGGTAGATTAATGCAAGAGCTTCGGATCTAGGCCCTGCTCAAAAAGGACCCAGATGGAGCAATGAGGTAGGGCAGTGGTTCTCAACCAGGGGTACACACACCCCTGGGGGTATGCAAAGGTCTTCCAGGGGATACATCAACTCATCTAGATATTTGCCTCGTTTTACAACAGGCTACATAAAAGCCACTAGCGAAGTTGGTACAAACTAAAATTTCATACAGACAATGATTTGTTTATACTGCTCTATATACTGTACAATTAAATGTAAATACAGTATTTATATTCCCAATTGATCTATTTTATAATTCTATGGCAAAAATGAGAAAAGCAATTTTTCAATTAGAGAGTGCTGTGATGCTTTTGTATTTTATGTCTGATTTTGTAAGCAAGTAGTTTTTAAGTGAGGTGAAACTTGGGGTACGCAGGACAGATCAGCCTCCTGAAAGAGGTACAGTAGTCTGGAAAGGTCGAGAGCCACAGAGGTAGGGTACCAGACCGCCATGCACAGCTGACTGATGTTGGCCAGCTGCCTTCTGAGGTAGGCTAAACTTCCTCTTTTGGGAGAAAGACAACTATTTGTCTAGGGGAGGGAGAGGTGCCTCAAAGTTGTTGTTGTTTTTTTCTTTTTTGAGGGGGGAAGTGATTCTAATGGATTAGCATCCCTTTACCATTAATCCGTCCCTGACTATACAAGTTTGTATAAGATCGTAAGTGTGAACGGTGCTTTCCATGCTAGAAGAAAGATGAGGGCTTACAATCTACATAAATAGGTAAGGAAAGGTATTTCTTCTGAAAGAAGGAATAATTAGCACACTGAAGTCATTCACCTGAGGTTAGGTTTCAGCATTACAGACTGTCTGGGAGAAACTAAAGGGATGCACTCAAGGACTGCTTAGACTAACAATGTGTCACTCTAGATTTACACCATTGTTCCTGATACTGAATATTTAAAAAAAAAAAACTTTAAATGAACCAGTGTGTATCTGATAGGAAATAGCATAGGTGTATCATTTTGTATACTATAAATTAAATATCTCATTATGCTGTTCATATTTTTCAGCACAGGCTGCAATCTTTTTTTCTTGTGGGGGAGCAAGCAAGGACAGATGGATGAAGGTGAAGATTTATTGACTTGGTCCACTGTTGAGGCACATCAATTTTTAGCTTGTTAATCTTGATGGTAACACGTGAAACAATTTATTTTGTTTTGGTTGATCCTTGTGTCAATTCTGGTACTGAGGAGTGCTGAATCCTGAGTAAGTATTTTTATAGAGAGAACTGATCTACCAATTTGTGCTGCTTCTGACAACACTGCTAGTACTAAGAATCACAAGATTTGTATTAAATATTTGTTTTAGCTACTATATTGGGATTTTTAGCCTATATTAATTCTTTCAGCTGGCATTTATCAGTAAATGCCCTTCCTGCCTACACTCGCTGCAGAAACAGTTTTCTTCAGAATATGGATTTTATTTAACTTTTAGGCTCTAAAATTGGAGGAAAATATATATATATATTTAAAGTCAGTAATGGAGATCAAACAAGAAAAAAAACCAAATACATGTACTTTATCTGATAAAATTGTTATAGCTGGTTCATTTTGGTTAGTCTTGATTTGATTCTGATATTCTATATTGTACATGGTCCAATGCATATCTTTTGTAAAACTATCATAGGTCAGAATTATTCAAATAAAGCTCTATCTTATCTTCTAAGCAGGAACCTTTAGATATGGAAAGCATTTATATTAAATGAGAGCATGTGGTCTAGGAGATGGGAGGGAACTGAAGTCAGAAACTCATAATTCTGCCACTGATGCAGCAAGTGATGTTGGGCAAATTATTTTGTCTATCTATACCGTAGCTTGCCCATCTGTAAAAGGGGAATAATACTTGGACGTTTTAAAGCAATTTGAGGTCCTGGGGTGAAATGTGCTATAGAAGTGCATAGTATTTTTATAATTAACAATGCCCTCTTCTCCCCCCAATATTTCACGGTACTCTCATAAAGATGACTCCTACCATGGAGCTTATGAAAATGTGTTTGAACTTGATGGTGTTAACATTTAGTTATGTCTTTGCTTCTATTACTTCTGCTCCTATGCCAGGT